GGGAGAAGGGGGGGGGGAGAGGGGGAGAAGGAAGAGAAAGCCCGGAATGATCAAAATAGTAAATCAAACTTAAATCAGAAAACCGAAGTCGGGCAAATGGTTACATACGTAATCTGATTCCGCCAGCATACTTACGAAGAATGACGTGGGTGATAACGAATGCAAATATAAAGACTGTCAGAAAAGACAGAGATAAAATAAACATATAAAAAAATCTGTAGTTTCTTTTCCCCACACAGTTGCCTACCCAGGGACAGTGGTGATCAAACCGTTCTGAAAAGAGAGGCAGAAAAGAAAAAAAAGGGGAATCAATTAATCAAGTGTCTTTTTACATGAAGGAGCCTCCCTCCCTCCCCACCCAATGCCGACAATATAACAAAAATAACACAACTACGTATTTACACACGAGCCACTCAGAGCAAGGCTTAACATGAAGACATTTCAAGAACATGATTAGTCTTTCCACAGAACTTGTCTATTTAAAGGAAACAAAGAGTATACACATATTCTCATTACAATGAGAAAAGTAAGATTTCGCCCTTTGGTAAAAAAACAAAACACATGCAAATACAAGGACTCTGGTTCACAGAACAGTCTTTCCTTAAGAGGGTACCAAGACCTCTGACGTCAGTGCTGGGCAGGATGGCATGGGGTCCCCGCCTTCGTGGGTACAGGTTCTCATGGTGACCATACAGAGAGGTCCCAAGGGGCCAGGGACAGGACAGAGGGGCAATCCCTGGTCTCCCATCACTTAGAGCATATTGGGGAGCGACTGCTCCCTGCCAGGCACTTGCATAGGGGCCAGGGCGACGAGAAATGATTTCTCACTTCACAGCCTCACCTGGGGAAGGAGAGGAAAACCCACAGACTATCCCATGACAACTGTTTCCTAAGAAATGTCTCCGCTATTTCAATAGTCGGAGAAGAACTGATATTATTATTATTTTAAAAAATATATTTTTATTGATTTCAGAGAGGAAGGGAGTCGGGGAGAGACAGAAACTTCCATGATGAGAGAGAACCATGGATCGGCTGTCTCCTGCACGCCCCCTACTGGGGATTGGCCCCACAATGCGGGCAGCTGTCCTGACTGGGAATTGAACCCGTGACCTCCTGGTTCATAGGTTGACGGACGCTCAACCACTGAGTCACGAGAAGCAGCCAGTCCTCGCAGAGGATCTGGAGAGAAATCTCAGCGTCACGGTCCTGGTGACAAGCCAGTGGCCTCTTAGCTGCTGGCCCTCAAAGGAAAGCAGTTCTGACTGGCGTGCCATGGGAGTGCCGGGCTCCGAGTGCAGCTGGGAAGGGAACCCGAGTCCAACTACGTCATTTCCCACGTCGGTGACCACACAGGCTGCGCAGTGGCGAGGTCCACATGCAGAAGGGCAAAGAGAAGACACGCGGATCAGCCAGATTTTCCCAAGACTCTGAGGCTGTCGTCTTGGGAGACCTCCTTCCTTCTCTACCCAGGAGCGCAGGAGATGGTGAGGCGTGGAGGCTGGGCCAGAGGCCCAGGACGGAGCCTCCACTCCAGCTGTGAGGCCGACTCCACATCCCACTGTGGAGGCTGAGCCTCTTCCAGAGCTCACAGCTGCAGAGGACAGCAGGGCGTGGGGGCACAGTTAACAGCGTGGGCCCCAGGCAGTGCCAAGCTGCCTCTCCCCCTCCATGGACACCTGCTCTCACAGGCAATCTCTCTACCCCAAGTTCCAACACCAGCTCTACCCGATGGCGCCAAAGCGGCCACATGCCGCCTTCAGCAACAGCCTCCTGCTGAGCCACCTGCTATCTCAGCCTTGACCCCAGAGAGACCTTCCCGAGATCCCTCCCCAAACACATTCCTCTTCCCACTTTCTGCCTCCTTTCTGTCAACCCAGAATCCCACCTTTTTTCCCCCCTTTAATCTTGAAGATACGTTTTTATTGATTTTGAGAGAGAGAGAGAGAGAGAGATTGATCGGTTGCCTCCCATACACACCCCGACCAGAGATGGAACCTGCAACCTTTATGGTAAATGGGATGACGCTCCGACCAACTGAGCCATGTGGCCGGGGCCCAGGCACCATTCTTGACTCCGTTCTTTCCCTCCCCCTCACATCCCATCCACGAGCGAGTCCCATCAGCAACTCCCACTGTTATCTAAAATTATCTTAGTTATTTATTTGCTTTTCTCTGCCCACCCGACTCTGAGCCATTAACAAATATCTGTCACATAAATGAATGAACCTTCTTCCCACCAACAGGACACCCAGGCGATCAAGCGCATCGCCCGATGTCACAGAGCTGACGTGCAGACCTGGACCACTAAACGCCGGTGCCACCAGTGAGCAGGCGCCAGCGCCCGGCAGGATCCAGGGCGAGGCTGCCGCGAAGGAAAAAGGCCACAGCGCCCGGCTTCCAGGCGTTCCTCACCTTCTTCAGGGGGGACCTTTATTCTCAGACTCTAAATACTCCTCAGTCCCAGGCATGGACTCCAACAGGGAAACCTAACTCAGTGTGGAAATCAGGCTGCTCCCACCACACACATCCTCCCTTCATGGGTCGAGGATAAACTGGGACGGGGTGAGGGCGTGGGGGTGGCTCGCCCAGTCCCACACGGTTCTGCTCTGAACGCCCCGGCCTCGGCTCCAGGGAGTGGGGGAAGCCAGGAGCTGCCTGGGGCCGGTCTGAACGGGAGGCTGATGTTAGTGTTACGTGGTTTCCAGGGAAGAAGAGCATCGAATCTGGGCACGAGCTGACACAGGCGTGGCTCCTGGGGACCTGGCTGAAGCAGCCACTGGCTGGAAGGGACAACATCTGGAGGAGGAGGGGGGGCGCCGACAGCTGGCAGCGTGAGCTGCGTGCAACCACAACATCTGAGACGTTTCAAACAACTATTAGTAGAGGCCGGTATGTGTATTTCTGTGGAAACACTGACGGGGTGTGCTCTGTCCTGGGGGGCAGGCGGGGTGTGTGTGTGTGTGTGTGTGTGTGTGTGTGTGTGTGCGCGCGCGATGGGTGGGTCTTTGAAAAAGCACTTTGGAGTCATTGCCACATCCACATCCTTGGTTCTGAAGATGCTCCTGCCAGAGGGAGGGTCTCTGCTCCACATCTCGGCAGGATTCCTGGGAGCTATTCCCTAAGAGGCCGCACAGGAACAGAGCCTG